CCCTTCAACTGTGTTTGTTTAATTCCTTCTAAACTGCAGTCATGATTTATTTCAGCTACTTCAGTTTTTTATTTTGGGGGTTCTATTAGACTCAAAAAAATCTCCCCAGTCTTTAAAAATATTATAGCTCCCTTTTCTTTACTCATATTAAGGTTTCTGTTTGGTTAGGGTTTTGTAGATGTGTGACTAGGACTCAGGGCCTGGTGCATGCTAGGCAAGGACACTACCACTTAGCCACACCTGCAGTACATATCTTAGATGCCCTCTTTTATTTACTTATTTAATGACATTAAATATGCTCACACTGTATGCCAGACAATCTCAGTGTCTCTGGGGCTGGTACTTGTTTCTGTTGACTTTTCTTTATGATACTTTGTTTCCTTTTATGTTTTGTGGTTTTGAACCTTGTTTGAGGGACCCCCTTGTTATCTGTGTACATTTTTTGAAACGTGGTTTGATTATACTTGCACTCAGAGAGGGTTTCATTTTTCTCCTTCTTTCACTCTTTCTTATCTCTTTCCTTGTGGGATGTGTGCATGGGTGTTTTTCTGGGGTTCAAATACCGACATTGTACGTGCTAAGCAAGTGTGCTACCACTGAGCTATGCCCCATTCTCTCGGGTTTTATTTTCTTTGCCAAGTGTGTAATTGCACTATCTAATCAGTTTCGTTTGAATTAAGTTTCTGGTTGTTGTTGCTGTTGATGACCATACTGGGCTCCTGGAGTGTAAATATTTTTTAGAGACTTTTCTCACTCAGAACTAAGGAATTGAACAGGCAAGTTCCACAGCGCTTGCCTTTGAGTGGCAGCTGTTTTTCTTCTAATTTACTATTTTATAGTCTCTGGTCTGACAGTCAGACCTCTGAGAGCCCCAGGATCTGTCTCCCAGTACCCCTTCCCTGAGAAGTTATAGGTTACCTGAAGTTGATGAATTCCCAAAGAACCAATGGGGTCCATGCTCAACATCTCAGAGCGCTTTTAACCCAGCTAAATATGCATAAGTGTTTTACAAAAAGAGGCAAGGGGGAGGTCCAGTCATAGAGTTCCTCGGGGGCGGGGAGTCACGAGCCTCTCCCACTGGGAAATTATCGACGTGGCAGGACTGTGTTTCCGGCCCATAAGTTATCTACCCTAGGCAGTGCTGTGTAGTCAGTGCGAGCTGTCCTTCAATAACTGCGTTCCTGCCTCCAGCCCCACCAAGCTCTGTGCAGTCTCTCATTTGCTTTTTTTCTTTCCTGGCTCTCCCACTTAACTTTGTTTTCGTTTCTGCTTGCTGCCT